ATCTTTAGAGGTTGGAAGCATGGATGTAAGGTCTGTGACGAATACAATCACCATTCACATCTGTATTGTAAAACATGCAAAAAAGTAGCGGATGAATTATATAGGCGATGTAGATGCGATAATTCTCGAATAATTAACAATAAATAAAAATAAATGAGCTGCCCCATAGTTATCTCATAATTATCTCCCAATTACCCTAAATTCACTCAATTATATAAAAAATAAAAAATGCTAAGGCCATCTTTATTTCATAATAAATGTTGCTAGAACAACAATATACAGATAAAAAAAAATAATAATTTTTTCCAATTATACATTAATTATTGTCATTGGTCTTGGAGGTATTATTATCGTTGTTCTTGGGGGGGGTGTCATTATTATCATTGTTCTTGGGAATGTCATTATCATTGTTCTTGGAGGTGTCATTATCATTGGTCTTGGAGGCGTTACTATCACTGGCCCTGGAGGTCTTATTTATCTTGTTCTTGGGGGTGACACCTACTCTGATAGGAGTGATGAGAGAATCCTGCCAAGAATGATCAGTGGTGGTTTTATTACTGCTCATTTTTCGTTCTTAAATACAAAAAACCATAGTAAGTAAAAATTCGTCTCCATATTGATTACCATGAAATGGAATGGCAAATTACTTTAAAAATAAATTATGGTCGGATAAAAAAATTATATATGAGCAAAAAAATATTATTATAACCCACCTACAAGAAACAGAAAAATTGCTTATTTTTATACCATCCATTTGCTAGATCTAAAAAAAACTTGCTAGTTACATGATTAGTAATTGTGTTACTCTAATACTGCTAGATCACACTTAACAAAGCAACTCTATTTCGGTTGTAAAGCCCAAATACTAAATATATTTTAGCATCTTTTTAGAAACCTAGCCCTTTAAATCGATACTTGCTACTACCAAGTGAAAAAGTTAACGATCTTGGTGATCTGAGAATTCCAAGTTCCTGTAGCATATGAAGTTTAATAATACTACTGATAAAAAACATTGTACTCTTTCTTAGTATAGCCCTTTTAAATCCTATGTGTGCCTTTTCTTATCGCAGTATTGTATATAATAAGAAAGGACTTTCTAGATATCTATTATAAATCAAAAATCGAACGTGAGAAAAAAGGCAGGTTGGTAGTACGTGACCCCCAGGTCACAATGTCATGTAACTACTATACTACTTATTGCACTTTGTATAATATAATATATGACCTTACAGATCACATTCTTATAAAAAAATATTAATATATAAAGTCGATAACTATTATCAAAATGGAATTGGGATTGAAAAGATGAATAAAATATTTGCTTATTATTGTAAAGCAATGATGATACAGAGTATCGAGAAAGCTAAGCTTCGAGTCTTTGACTCATCTACAATTTCTATTCAAGTCTATAAATGATCAGCTGATATAGGCAATATTCGTGGAATACTTCAAGTTAGTATTCTTGATATTTTTTTTCTAAGAAAATTATAAATTCTAAGAATTCTAAGAATTCTAAAATTACTAAGAATATTTTAATTCTCAGAATCTTTATATTTTATAAAAATGACGAATTTCCATGAATATTATTCAGAACTTCTCAAGAAATTACCTCTTTCTATAAAAAAAAATATATGGAATCGTCTTATATCTAGATTACATAATTCTTTATCAGAAAAACAGGCAAGTAGTATTCATCCTGATATTGAAGTATTGCTAATTAGTGAAGTTGATAAATATGAAAAGAAAAAAAATCAGCAACGTTGTAGACCCAAAGAAGCATTGCTTCACAATAATCTTTCAGATGATACTACCTTTACTAATATCCAAGTAATTAAGACCCCAAGGGACATTGCTTCACAGGCCCAAAGGGGCAACTCTAAAGGGTCATACTCTGAAGAAGAGGTTAATGCTAGAATCAAAGAAGCTACAGATAATTTACGTCAAGAATTTATTAAATCTACTGAAGAAACTTTAAAAACTATTAAGCAACAGAAAGATATAGAATGCAATCAAATTAAGATAGATATGGCTAATTGGAGTACAAAATTATTCGAACTTTCATTAAAAAAATATATTCGAGATGGTACTATATATAATTTTATTCATGCATTAGAAGAAAAAGATGGTAAATCATATTCTAATATATCTTGGAAAAAGTGATTCATA